TACTTGATCAACTCCTTGAGTCGATCAACGATGAAGATGTAGCCATCCTCATCAATGTACCCAACATCTCCGGTGCGGACGAAGCCATCTGCAGTGAACGTAACCCGATTTGCCTCAGGGTTCTTGTAGTACCCCTTCATCAGTGCGGGGGTACGGAACAGCAGCTCTCCAGTCTGATTCACGCCCAGATCCTCATCCGTCTCAAGGTCCTTCACCTTCAACTCCGTGTTCGGATGCAGCGTACCGGACGCACCATCACGGTACGTTGTCGGGTACGAGCTGGTAGCACAACCAGCAAACTCCGTCATACCGTAACCTTGCAGCACTCGGATGCCCAATCGCTGCATGACTGCGTGCTCCACCTCCTTACCCAAAGGTGCTCCCCCTGAGTTCACATGAGTCACATGAGAGAGGTCGTACTTGTCTACGATCGGGTGTTTAGCCAAGAACGTGACAAGGGGCGGGGCGAGGTTCAACTTGGTCATCTTGTACTTCGCCACAGTGCGCAGGAAAGTTTCAGGGTCGAACCCGGGTAACACTACCATGGTTACACCTTTGTAGAGGGTTACATGGAAGATCATTGTAGCCATGATGTGGAAGAACGGCAACATACCCAACACGTACTCGAGATCAGCTTCACGGTACGCCGGTAGGAGTCCACACGCATACATTGCACGTGCCGTTAACTCCACGCCCTTAGGACGACCAGTAGTGCCGCTAGAGAACGGTAGTGTCACTACCTGGTTCGTATCAATTGGAGGGATATTCGGGAACGGCAGGTTCTGTGCGATAAGGCCTTCAATGGTTTTAAGACCCGAAGGACCCTCAGCTTGACCGAGTGTATACACTCGCGAGAGTGGCAGACGTCGTAGTCCAGCGGCTTCTACTGCCACTTTGGCGAATTTCTTGTGCGAAATGACTGCAGCAGCTTCAGCAATCTCGATCTGGTCAGCCAGTTCCTTGCCATTGAAAAGTGGCGAGGACGGGGATATGATGGCCCCGAGGCGGTTGAGCGCTAGGAATACAACGACGTACTCGAGGCAGTTGAAAGAGTGCAGGATCACGATGTCGCCCTTCTTGAGGCCATTGGCCGCGAGTCCTGCGCAGACTTTTTTCGCCTGTTCGAGTAGCTCTGCGAAGGTGAGGGACCTCTCTGTGATGCCGCAGATGAAGGCCTTCTTGTTCCCGATGGTGCGTGCATGATCCTCGACCACTTTCCAGATGGAAGCGTCGTCCGGAATGGGTAACGTGGGGAGGCGGGAGCGGAAGATCATGGGGCTGGTTGACACCGAGGACGCGAATACTGAAATGACACGTTTACCCAAGCAGAGGATGTTAAACAGTTTTGCATGGTATCCGACATGGGATTGGTTAAAAACAAGGAACAAGTGGATAACTTCAACCTGAGCATCGTTGAAATGCGATGTCGACTCAACGTCCTTGAATTCGGACCCGTGCTTACGTCAAAATGACGGCGCCCAGACTCTGGGCCAGAAGCCCGAAAGTGTCAGCGAGGAACTAAAACAGCGTCATGAATCAACGAGAACTTATATCCTACAAGTTGTCAGGTTTCTAAAGGAGTGTGTATAGGAACTGTTCAACTAAGCTTCTGGAGAGGACGTGTTCAGCTGCTACAACAGACCAAAGCGTACTCACTGCATTTGGTGGTGGACCAGCCAAAGATACACCACTACAGCTTTAGAGGTCTAGTAATAAGTCTGGTTGCATGAAAGAGAGACGAATCAAACCTACTGCTCTTCCCAAGTAGCAGATTGTACTAGTGGTGTGAGTTCGTTTTCGTTGTTTCGCTACCAAATTGGGTTGGTGTGGTTTGTCATTAGCTTGTCGTTATCCTATATGAATCCGCTTTCTTACATACTACTTCGAAGTACGGAGTATGATATCCAAGACTGCCAGTTCAGAGCACCCAATGAGTCGAAGCACGAGGTTTTGACGACAGTACTGTTTCCACATTACTTTAA